CACACAGAGACAATAGAATTAGAAAAAATAATCACCTTTCCGTGGATGCTTCATTCTTAGAATGAAGCAATTATAGTGCAAATTCTCATGTAACGTAATGCAATACAAGAAGACACGGGTGCATCGCTACTAAGAAGATAAGCTGTACAGTTTTGGGAGAGATTCACAATATTCACCTGTTTATGTCATATATAGTAAATATTTAATATGCAATAATGACATTTAGAATTGCAATAAATAATAAAGCACATTTCTTTCAGTGTATAATTTACTTTTTCGAAATTGAAACTCCTCAAATCACCGCTATGCCACTTTTACACACTGTATGTAGTAATCCGATTGATCTAATCTTTTTTTACATTTTTCATGAGTTAAATTTGCAGCATCTAAGTTAGAAGCGCATCGTTTGTTTCTTTTCCGTCGGAATAATGTTGGGGAAATAAATTAAACTTGCTAACATAATATTTCCAAAAGTAATTGCTGCAACTGACGACATTTAATGTTAAAGAAACATTTTAAGTACTCGGTTGGATACCCTTCCAGGGATGATCTCATATGACACACATATCTTTCTCCCAGAAGCTGAAGTGTAAATAATCGCCTGAAAAAGTTTTGTTGATATTTACTTAAAATGTGAATTAACCTACTTTGCAATAATATCAGAAAAGGAAGAAAGAGTGAATAGTGTTGGGAGGTTCTGAACTCAGCACTACAAAGTGTCAAATGAATTTCATGTACCTGACTAAAGGTATTCTTTATCTTTACGAAAACTTACACACCGCACACGCTGCGGTACAACTCCTGCGCAAATTAATGCTGCTATTTCAGACCTTGCAATGTTATCCGTACAGATATAGGCTTTCCCTTCGAATTGTAAGAAAGATTTATTTGTACTGACTGGTGTCTAAGATTAGATCATAAGTTCGGTAAAAATATAAATAGTGGAGAAAAATAAATTTTATTGTTAATATAATGAGCTTTTTATTTAGTGTTATTTTAAGTTTTTGAAAACTTATTTTGTCTATCTTTCTGTTAATTCTATATCAATATAATTTTTTTATTAGCAAAAAAAAACTCTAAAAGAACTGTTTTATTTGCAAACGTTATGGAATTTTAACATGAAATAAGACATCTTAACATAGCTTACAATTTTAAAAGATTTGTAGACATTTTTGGGGTTGCATTTCAGCATACCTATACGTTGATCTCAAATATCATAATTATTATTACCTCATTGATGAGAATTTTAGGAAAATTTGTAAATTTGATTTAAATTAATTTAGTACTTTTTGAAATAAACTGAAAATACTTTTTTGTACAACGAAAAAAGTTATATTTTTCAATATTTGGCGAATGCGCCGGTCGAAGAGGGTTAAATTTTAGACAGTTTAGTTTCTAAGAAGTAAAAAACTTGTAGACAACAATTAATAATACTCGTACCTAATAGTAGGTATTTTACATACTGCATTTTTTCAAGATACTGCATTGTTAAAAACTTGTTTTATGCCCATAAATTCAAAATTTGTATTTCCGTTTTCACTTCTCTAATTCTTTCTGTGCATAGTTTATTTCAAAACATTTAATTAACAGACTATAGTCAAATATGCAGTATGTCCACAACTAGACTGAACAATGTGCAAAACATTTATGTGTTCATTTTACAGAAAAAAGCCAATTTTGATTAAAAAATTGCTTCTTTTTAAATAAAAGTTGCGAAAGTGAATTTTAAATTTGTACATAAAGGGTTTTCAGCAAATAAAAAAAAACTTGTTACACTGAAAATTTACTTATTTTAATATACCACCTTGCTGAGAAAGAAATTGGTCGAATGGGTGGCACCTTTATAACATTCTTTTAGCTGTAGACCCACTCCGTCTCCACTGTAGCTAGCGGCCAACCCCTTTTGTGGAATATATTCGCTCGTTCCACAGATCCACCCGAAATACGAAAACCTACCCACACCTTTTTTTTGCTACATTTACTAGTTATTTAATTTTTGTTTAAAGCAAGTTTAGACACACATTTGTTTCCCATTAATTTTGTATTGTAGCAAAAGTGGCTTTTTTGTTACAAGATCATTTTTTCTTGTAGCAAACTGAAAATGATGGAAATTAAACGAATGTGCCTTGATTTTCGACAAAATGCTATTAAAGAAAGTTGTCTCGAATTGTATACTTGTTTTAATTATTCTTTGTAGTTAAATTGGCTTATTTCGATTGTTCTAAATTGTACGAGACTTATCACCAAATTAAATAAAAGTTGATTTTGAAAAGAAACAAAGAAAACAAATTATTTATGTTCATCAGTAACAAATATCTTTGATTTGTTATTCCAGTGCGCAAATTATAAAGTCACTGAAAATATGGACGATCAGAGAATTTACGTTATCAAATTCCTAAAACATCCGCTATTTTTCAATCACGCCAACTATAAACATTCTAAGATTGACGTAAGACTAGTATAGGCCAGGAAAATAAGCTGGGAAATGACCATTTCGCGACTTTTTGTTTCGGCAAGCTGAATTTATCACTATAGATGCTAAATATTATGTACAATAACATATTAGTTTCCACAGTTATAAAAATGGGGGGGGAAGATTGTTTACAGGGTGGTTAATTGTATAATTTTTAAGTAAATTCACGTTTTTTGCTTATAACTTTTTTTCGTTCATTTCCACGAGAAAACAGTACTTTTTTTTCGGCTTCAAAAGACCTACAAAACTAGCCCTCGAGCGTAAAAAAATATTAATTACATCAAAAGTTATAAACAGAAGATGTTTATTTATGACTTTTGAATTAAACATTTATAAACTGCGTTATTATTACTAGAATGTTTAGGCATCGCATTCCCTCATTCCTTATCACTGTCTAATAACTTACACGAAATCTGGAATCGGTAAGTTGAATAGTTTACAAGTTATGGCCTTAAAAACAAATTAACTAATTATTAGTCCGGACGATCCCGAGCATATTCCACAATCGCACTGATTTTTTTCAAGGTAGATTTCATAATAATACATTGAAATCTATCATTTTTTTTAATTTCAAATTTACAACCTGGATTTTTTTTATTTTTTAGCCTTAGTTGCAAAATGAAATATACGACGCACGAGCGTGATATGGTATATATTATTACATCGAAAAACTTATGAAAAGAGCTTTAAGTTAAAATCGTCAAGATTCGTTGAAAAACGACGGAGTTACAGACTGCCAAAGTTGACGGCCGATTGTTATACAAATTAGGTTGGTAGCAACAAAAAAAAAATACTGTCATAACTGGCTACCGGAGTCCTTTCCCAGGTAAAAATATTTTATTTGTGGAAGTATGTTAAGTACATAAGAAATATTTTAGAGTATTTTCATGACCCAGTGATTAAATTGAAGGTAATTTGTTTGGGAATGGGGTCAGTTTTTAAAGAAAACCAGTTTATTGGTTAGCCGACGTTTCGGCTATATTTAAGCCTTCTTCAGGACACTAAAATAATTACAATAAATAAACATACACATCATTATACATATTGACTATTAGGATTAAAACAGATTAAAATTCAATAATATTACAATGATGAAGGATATAATATAATAATAAATTTATCGGGTACTTACATCCAAAAAAGGTTTTCCGTGTAACAAATAATCTAAATAATGGGGAGTAAAGCAACATACTACCTATTTTACTCCTCATTATTTAGATTATTTGTATATTGTAATATTATTGAATTTTAATCTGTTTTAATCCTAATATTCAATATGTATATTGATGTGTATGTTTATTTATTGTAATTATTTTAGTGTCCTGAAGAAGGCTTAAATATAGCCGAAACGTCGACTAACCAATAAACTGGTTTTCTTTAAAAACTGACCCCATTCCCAAACAAATTACCTTCAATAAGAAATATTGTCAAAAGTCAGTGGGTCGCTTGATTTTCGGCGAGCCGTGGCGCGGCGGAAGGGTGGGGAAGCGAACGATAGCGAGTCCGAAGAAAATAACGATATTATTCATAATCCTGCCGTCAAATAAGGAAAATTCGCTTGAAAATAATATATTTGACAGTCTGTAACTCCGTTGTTTTTCAACGAATCTTAACGATTTTTTTTTAACTTAAAGCTCTTTTCATAAGCTTTCCGAATATGTCATAATATATAACTATTTCAAGCTCGTGCGTCGTGTATTTCATTTTGCAACTAAGGCTAAAAAATAAAAATTTTCCAGGTTGCAAATTTGAAATTTAAAAAAAAAAAATGATAGATTTCAATGTATTATTATGAAATCTACCATGAAAAAAATCAGTGCGATTGTGGAAGGTCCTCGGGATGGTCCAGACTAATAATTAGTTAATTTGTCTATAAGGACTACTTGTAAACTATTCAACTTATCGATTCCAGATTTCGTGTGAGTTATTAGACAGTGATCAGGAATGAGAGGATGCGATGCCAAAACATTCTGGTAATAATAGCACAGTTTATAAATGTTTAATTCAAAAGTAATAAATAAACTTCTTCTGTTTATAACTTTTGATCTAGTCAATATTTTTTTACGCTTAAGGGATAGTTTTGTAGGTCTTTTGAAGACGAAAAAAAGTACTTTACTGTTTTCTCGTGTAAATGAATGGAAAAAACGTAAATTTACGTAAAAGTGATTAACCACCCTGTAAACAATCTTCCCCCCATTTTTGTGACTGTGGAAACTAATATGTTATTGTACATTATCATCTATAGTGATAAATTCAGCTTGCCGAAACAAAAAGTCGCGTCCAACTCTATATTTCCCGGACTACGTAATTCGTACCTGCATTAACCTAACTAGTAAACAGGTACGCGAACTACTCAGACACGAGACAAGAACCCGGGAGCTGCAGCGTCATCAGATATCGCCAACCGTCTGGGCGCCTATAACGCCAAACGCTCCCAGACGTCCCCACAGCCTGCTATTACCGCTATTAATATTTATTAACTCAATTAAATTTCGCGATTTTTTCTCACATTCGCTACTTTTTCCAGATAACTGTCAGCGAATTTCCTACAAGAGACGGCTGGCGAACACCTTACATTCAGTACGGAAAGAAGTTTCGCATGATGCTGAAGGAGCGCGAGAGTATAGAGCGCAGTGTGTCTTCGCCTTGCTCTAGCCTTGGGGGTTCTTCGGGCATTGAAGTGTCATCCTGTGCTGGCTGTGGTGAAAGAATACATGACCGTTACTACCTCCTGGCTGTCGACCGACAATGGCATGCCTCATGTTTGAAATGCTGCGAATGCAAGCTTCCCTTGGACTCCGACTTGACTTGTTTCGCTAGAGATGGAAATATTTATTGCAAGGAGGATTATTATAGGTAAGATAAACCTCAGGGTTTTTGCATTTGGTACCTGTACGGTGCGAGTGAATGGCGCTGTCTACATGTCTGAGTTACCTAACGAGTTGATATCTGTTTGAGTTTGGCGGTTGGTTTTTGTATCGAAAAATAAAACGCATTATCTTATATTATAGGGTGAGTCAACGCTGTGACAAAGTTGATTTATGGCTAGAATATAATTGAGGCAAAATGTTTCAAATTAGGTTCGTGTAGGGGAGCAAGAAATGCACATTTTAAAAATAATTTGACTTATATAGGGTGATTCGTTTTCGGAGGGCTGATTTGAGTGGTTATTTATATTTTACATGTAATAATGCAATTTTTTCGTAATAGGTACTATCTGTCAAAAATCAACCGTCACCAGTCTAAGTTTACATCATGAGCTAAGTCTAACTATGAATCTTGAAAGACAATTGAGATATCGCAAAAGGTATAACAATTACTTTAAACTGGTTAATCCATTTTTGGAAAAAAGTTTATACAGAAAAGTATCATATTTTTTATGTACCTATACAGGGTGTTTCATTTCCGGTGTGCCAAACAAACACAGATGACAGAGAAAGTAATTTTGAACAGAAAAGTCATATTGATATGTGTCCGAAAACGCCCCCCTGTGGCGCTACTACGCCCCTTTAAAGGGGGCCATCAAGACACAATTTTATTTCAATATCTCGAAAATGCTTCGAGATAAATTGATAAAATTTTATGCAGAGGTACCATTTGTTACGAGGAATTACTTTATATAAACCAAATTTACACATTTAGTGGAGTCAAGATAGATTTTGACTTTGCGAAAATTACTGGAAGAGAGAACTTTTTATTTTTCGCTTTGTAAAGTTGTCAAAAATAATATATAAAAAGTTATCAACTGTAGAGTGTACGCTAAATTATTTATTTAACAAAATAGTTGCAAAATTACAGTTTTTGCAATATATTAAAAAATATATAATTTAAAAACATTCGAAAGAACAGGAAATTTTACATAAAAAATGCTAATAAAGTTTTTTTCTAAAATGCAAATTGAAGGCTGTAGAATTTTTTTCCTAACGTACGAAAAATGAAATGACCGGACCCCAAGTATAGCTCTCGATGAGCGCACTACACTAAATTTGTTATAACTTGATCTAATTGATCAAATCGACCTCAAAAAAATTTAAATGAAAGAAGAGTCATCCGGCTATCAAAATTTTATGTCTCTAAACTTGAGAAAGTTACGTCATTCTATAATTTTGTACATTAATAATAAAATAACTGTCATTCTTTTAATTTTTAAAGTAAATATCTGTAACTTTCACAGATTACTCTTCAAATGACGACTGAAACAGTGGGCGATATGAAAAAAATCTTAAAAATTTAATTTGAAATATATAGAGCCCAACATATTCAATAGTTTTAAAAAATCACAAATTTGACTTTTTAGGACAAACTTTATAGATCTAAAACTATAGTTGTAAATGTGATATTGAAACTTTATGAAAGCAGTTTTTAAAGCTTAAAGTCTCTACTTTAAGAGCCATTTTGAATTTTCATTGTTTGACATCATATTCTTGTTTAGCGACGTCAAAAACCCCTATATTACAAATATAAGCGAGTTTGGTTTAAAATCAATAATTGTTAAATAAATTGTTCAAAATATTCGGCCATATTGGATCAGCCATTTTGAATTTTCATTTTCCGACTTCATATTCTTGTTCAGCGACATCTAAAACCCATATATTGTCAATTTGAATAATTCGATTTAAAATTTATTGAATTATTTTAAATGTTCTTAAAAGACTATTTAAACTAAAATTTAATTATCGTCAATAAGTATATTGTTATTCGTAAAATTGAAATAATAAATCTAAACAAGGCCTATTACATTTATTTTATCTTTCCCTTACTCGAAGGTTTTTATTCCTTTCTTGTAACAATAAAAACCAAACTTTGTAATGGACATATCGTCCCTCTTATCACGTAGGGAAGTATAATCCAAGAAATGGATATACACATACGCCTCTACGTGATAATAGGGACGATATATTTCATTGCAGAAAGGGGCTATCTACATTTATTTTTTTTATATTTATGCTTTGTAGCAATTGCATATTTTACCTTCACATCTTAACTGTATGTGGGGTACTATGATTTCAAGTTTTTTATATTTGATGCAACATTGATGTTCCTCAAGGTTCCGTCTTGGGTCCCTTGCTCTTTAGTTTATTTATTAATGACATTGGTGCCATTGTTAATGTGAATCGTTCACTGTATTCCAACGACATGAAGTTTTTATCTGTTGTTGATGATGATTATCTGTTTGCAATGTTACTAAATAACACAGAAAAAATGTAAGGGGCGATGAAAATGAACAGGGGTCTTTGGTATAGATTTTTTGAAAAACTCTCCCCTGAAAAGTTATGCCCCTTCGAAGATTTAAAAAAAAATGGTTTTTCTTTTTTATTCTCCATGTATATCAAGCTAAAGAAACCTAACTTGGTGAACATTATCTATCAAGAACACTACACTTTTTGAAATTTTTTCAACCCTGAAATATTTTTGTAAGTGGTTGAAATAATCAACCCCTATGACATTTTTTCTTAAAACATTTTTTAAATAAATTTTTTTCTTTTTAAAAAATATGTCTAAAAACTAACTTAGGTACTGATCTCTTCAAGTTTTTTCGAAAATTTAAGGATTTATGAAAAAATAAATATATTGCAAAACACTTAAAAAGATTTATTTAAATGTATTTTGCCAAAAGATCTAGTGGCCTGTCCCATACAAAATGGGTTGAAAGAAAGAACAAAAAGGGTATTTTTTGGCAGATAATGTTCACCAAGTTTGGTTTCTTCAGCCTGGAAGATGAAAAAAAAATATTTTTTTAATTTTTGGAGGGGCATAACTTTTCGGCGAGTTTTTTCAAAAAATTTTATACCAAAGAACCCTATTAATTTTCATCAAAGAATCGCCCTTTACATTTTTCGGTGTTATTTAGATACACCCTGTATATTGTCATATTCCAGGCAAAATAATGTCATACTTTCTAATAATTATAATCTGAATGGAAATGTCTGGCATGGAGTAAATGATATTCTCGATCTGTGTGCAAAGTTTGATTCAAAATTAACTTTCAGTAGTTATATTGAGAATATTGTTTTGTCTGCGTATAAAAAAATTGATTTTTTTATTAGATTTTCTAGAGGTTTTGACGATGTCGATCTACATAAGTTATTCTACAATTCATTTGTAAATGTAGGCTTGAATATGGTTCGCTTATTTGGAATTCAGGTTACAGTAAATATCCCAAAAACAATGAAAATATCCAGCGTAGTTATTTAAAGTTTTGGATTTGTTCCTTAATATTTTTGCATAAAATAATAGATAATAACTCAATTGTAAAAATATATTACACACGCTGAATTTTCATGCATGAAAGTTGAGAACGTTTTGTCTTCACACATGCTATGAAGTTTTCGTCCCTTTATGATGAAAAGATTATATTGCTATCCAGGAACACCTTGATATACCTAATTGATGCTAAGTATTACTGATATAAAATATATATTTGCGATAGTACCATTTTAATTGATATTTGTAGTAAATGTAATAACTGTTTCGACTTTTTAAACATTATTCTTCATATTTCTTTTGTAAATCCCCATCCTCTAATTGTTCTATAAATAAATAAAATAGTCCCAAATGTATCACAACACGAATAGTAAGATACTTTTAGATTTGCAACACAAAATAAGTACCACAAACAATCATTATNGCAATTGCATATTTTACCTTCACATCTTAACTGTATGTGGGGTACTATGATTTCAAGTTTCTTATATTTGATGCAACATTGATGTTCCTCAAGGTTCCGTCTTGGGTCCCTTGCTCTTTAGTTTATTTATTAATGACAATGGTGCCACCGTTAATGTGAATTGTTCCTGTATTCCAACGACATGAAATTGTTATCTTTGCTGATGATGATTATCTGTTTGTAATGTTACTAAATAACACCGAAAAAATGTAAGGGGCGATGAAAATTAATAGGAGTCTTTGGTATAAAATTTTTTGAAAAACTCTCCCCTGAAAAGTTCTCCAAAAATCTTCTTCCTTTTTGAAAAATTTCGGCCTCCAAAAATTAAAAAAAAAATGTCTTTCTTTTTCATCTTCCACGTATATCAATCTAAAGAAACCAAACTTGGTGAACATTATCTGTCAAAAACACCACACTTTTTTAAATTTTTTCAACCTTGTAATATTTTTGGAAGAGGTTGAAATAATCAACCCCTATGACATATTTTCTTAAAATTTTTTTCTTCACAATCATGCTTTGAAGTTTTCGTCCCTTTATGATGAAACAATTATATTGCTAGCCAGGAATACCTTGAAATATTTGATACTAAGTAAGTGTTACTAATATAAAAAATCTATTTGCGATAGTACGATTTTAATTGTTCTTTGTAATAAATGCAATAACTGTTTTGTTTCTTTAAACATTATTCTTCATATTTTTTTGTGGCGTAACTAGATAAATAAATAAAAAAGTTCCAAAGCTTCATAACGTGAACTAGTAAGGTGCTTTTAGATTTGCAACACAAAATAAGTACCACAAACAATCATTATATCGGAAAACAAACACATTTTATCGTTTTTTTGTCTAAAAAACAAGAAAATTTTGCTTAATTCGTTTCTGAAATAACGATTCAATTAAAAATCGTTCATATTTCCAAAGAGCGGCATTAAAGAAATATTATTTTATTATTTTTTCGCGTATAGGTGTAAAGCGTTCGACGCCACAGTTAATTAATGTTTACTAAACATCACTTGCGGTGAGTTTCAGTACATGTGTGTTTAGTAAACACTGATATCGGATAACGAAAATCATGTTGCCACTTGACACCCCGGGTCTATTAGTGTCAGAATAATATTTTCATAGTAACGCTGCAGTGCTGGCGTACGACATATGGTTGTGTCAGCAATAGAATAGTAGCATTTTACGCGCT